CCCCCCCGCCTCACGGCCCATGCCCACAGCAGTGGGTTGACCACCGGCTGGACTACAACAGCGAGGACTACGGCGGCATTGCTGCCTTGCGGGTGCCCGCAGACTTGGTGTGGCTGCCAGACATCGTCCTGGAGAACAAGTGCGTGGGTCTGGCCTGGCCTGGCCGGCCGGCCGGGCAGCTCCTGGAGGGTGGCGGCGGGTGCCCTGCGAGTGGGGGGGGGGGGGGTCGTGTCCCTGTCCTTGTGCCCGAGGCAGCTGCCCCTCGCTTGCCTCCGCAGCATCGACGGGAACTTCGGCGTGGCGTACCGCTGCAACGTCCTGATCTTCCCCGGGGGGGCCATGTACTGGCTCCCCCCAGCCATCTTCCGCAGCACGTGCTCCATCGAGGTCACCTTCTTCCCCTTCGACTGGCAGAACTGCTCCCTCGTCTTCCGGTGAGAGCTCAGGCCGTCCGCGCCGGGCTGGCGGGTGGGGCAGTGGCCCCGGGGCCGTTCCGGCGGCTGCTGGGGGCCCGGGCGGGGGCAGCGGGGCTCTGGGGGGGAGCGCCGAGGGACCGAGCCCACCGGGCCGCCCCAGCGGCATCCGCAGGGGCCCGCCAGCAGGCCTGGCCCGTCCGCTCCTCTGGGCCGAGCACGCGGCCACGTGGCCTGGCCCACGGCCCACGGCCCCCGCCCTCGCCCCCGCCCAGGTCCCAGACGTACAACGCCAAGGAGGTGGTGCTCGAGTTCGGCCTGGATGACGTCACCTTCCAGCGGGTCACGGAGATCAGGATCGACCGGGAGGCCTTCACGGGTACGGGAGGCTGCGGGGCTGGGGGTCTCCGGCCGAGTCCCGCCGGGCCAGCCCGAGCCAGCGTGCCCCGGCTCGGCGCCTGCCCCTCGGCCCCCTCGCGGGGCTTTTGCGGGGGCCCGAGCCCACGCGCAGGCTGTCCGGCAAGTGAGCGCGCCCCGCCAGGTGTGCTGTCCCCCGTACAGAGAACGGGGAGTGGGCCATCCAGCACCGGCCCGCCCGCAAGGTCTTCGCCCCGGTCGCCGGCGAGGAGTCCCCGGGCTTCTCCGAGATGCACTACTTCCTGATCGTCCAGCGCAAGCCGCTCTTCTACACCGCCAGCCTCATCGCCCCGTGCGTCCTCCTCTCCTCCCTGCTGGTGCTGGTGTACTTCCTGCCGGCCCAGGGTGAGCTGGCGGCCGTGCCCGGGGGGCGCCGGGCCACGCGGGCCGGGCGGCAGCTGCAGGGGGGCCGCCGCGCGAGGGGAGGCCCCGTGCGCCAGCCGTGCCTGTCCCCACAGCCGGGGGGCAAAAGTGCACCTTGAGCATCTCCGTGCTGCTGGCGCAGACCGTCTTCCTCTTCCTGATCGCGCAGAAGGTGCCGGAGACCGCGCTCGGCATCCCGCTGATCGGCAAGTGCGCAGCCGGGCCGGCCCCGGGGGCGACTGGGCTGGGGGCAGGGCTGTGGCGAGGGGCCCCGGGGGGGGGGGGGGGGGCCGCACGGGGGGGGGGGGGCGCCGGGGGGGGGGGGCGGGGCTCCGCACGGGACGTGGGACGGCGCTGCGCTGCCCCCGAGCTGGGAGCGCGCCCCCCTCTGCAGCGGAGCGCGGGGGGGGGTGGGGCCGGGGCCGGGGAGCGGGTCGGGGGGCGCAGCACGGCGCAGCCCTCCCCAGGCGACCCGGCCGCCCTCTCCCCGAGCCCAGGTACCTGCTCTTCGTCATGGTGGTGGCCACCCTGATCGTCATGAACTGCGTCATTGTGCTCAACGTGTCCCTTCGCGGCCCCGGCACCCACGTCCTGTCGGAGCGCTTGAAGCACGTGAGCAGCGGGGCCGGGGGGGGGGACGCACCATGCCCCAGAGTGGGGGGCCGCCCGCAGGCCTCCATGGCGCCGTCCCGTCCGGCTGACCCACGCTGCCCTGCCCCAGGTGTTCCTGGAGGTGCTCCCCGGCTACCTGGGCTCCCCCATTGAACCGGCCGGCGAGGACCCCCGGGACGCCCCCCAGCCGCGCCGGCGCAGCTCCTTCGGGCTCATGCTGAAGGCGGAGGAGTACGTGCTCAAGAAGCCGCGGAGCGAGATCCTTTTCGAACGCCAGGGGCAGCGGCACGGGCTCCAGAGGACCCCCGGCCACGGCCCGGCAGGTGAGGCGGGGCAGGGTGGGGGCAGTGCCCCCCGAGTCCTCCAGCAGGTGCAGGCGGACGCTGGGGAAGGTTGCCCAGCGCCTCCGGGGGCTGCCCCACGGGGCCCGCAGCGGGCTGGACGAGGCAGCCTGGCACGCCGCCCCGTGGGGGGTTCTCCCCGCAGGCCCAGCAGCTCCCTCTGGGGCAGCCGTGCTCGCTGGTGCCCCCTGGCCCTGCCCGCCCCGCGGGAAGGCCCCCCGAGGCCCGGAGCGCCCCCCCGAGCACCCCGTTTGTCCTGCACAGGGCCCGCGGCTGGCCTGACGTCGCTCTGCCGACGTGCCGCCCCTGGCAGGGCCGCCCTCACCAGCCACTGCCCGCGGGGACGGGTGGCCTTTGCCCTGCTGGCCACGTGGGGGAGGGCTGGGAGTCGGAAACGGGGCGCTCCGCTCGGCCACGTGGCGTGGGGGGGCCGTGCACCCTTGAGCGCCACAGCAGCACCCAGCGAGGAAGGCAGGCGGCGGTGGCCCCCAGGGTCTCCGGGGAGAGCCTGCCACAGTCCCACGGTCCCTCTCCCGCGGCTGCTTGCAGGTGGGCTCGACGTGGCCCCCCCCGGCTGCCTCTTCAAGGCCCTGGCAGCCGCAGCCCCCGAGATCAAGGAGTGCGTGGACGCCTGCAACTTCATTTCGGAGAGCACCAAGGCCCAGAGCGCCGATGGGGCGGTAAGTCCCCCCCCCCCCCCCCCCCCGTGACTTCCGTGCCCCCCCTGACACCCTCGCGCTCTCCCCCTGCAGGAGATGGAGAACTGGGTGCTGATCGGGCAGGTGGTGGACAAGCTGTGCTTCTGGGTGGCCTTCGGGCTCTTCTCGCTCGGGACGGCGGCCATCTTCTTCACGGGGCATTTCAACAGTGTGCCGGACGACCCCTTCCCCGGGCAGTAGGCAGGGCAGCCCCGGAGCCCCCCCACCGCCAGGCCTCCGTGGGAGCAGCGCGAGGAGCACGGGCGCCCCCGCCCCCCACGACCGCCGAGCCTGGGAAGACGCTCCTGCAGGCCTTTTCCACCGCCCCCCCCGCCGGCTCCGCCGCTACCCGGGTTGTGGCTGCTCAGAGCACTGGGGGGCACCCAGCTTGGCACTGCGGCTGCGCACCCATTTCGGGAAGCAGCTCATTTTGGATCCGGGGCTCTGGCCCCATTCCCCGAGGCCCCTTTGGGGTCACCTCCTTCAGGGGGAAGGGGCTCCGGCCCACCCAATTCTCGGTGGGCTTGCGCCCCCTTCCCAGCTGAGCCCACCCTGCTGTTTGCAAGGGCGGCTCCTGCCCCTGCCGGGGGGGGGCACTCCCTACAAGGCCGAGCGGTGTGGCCCGGGGGGGGGGCATGGGCTCTGCAGATGGTGCTCCAGCTTCTGCTCAAAACCAGCCCGTCGGGCTTCCCACCCAAGTCCCACAAATGAGCGGGACCTGCAGCTCCTCTTTCCAGCAAGGTGCCGGGGGGGGGGGCACAGCTGCATCCCACCCCACCCTTTCGAGGAGCTCCTCGGCCTCGATCCCAATCCCTGAGCACCGGCTCCCTTAAACAAGTGCGGGCGAGGAATCCCCAAGAACCAGGGCCGCCCCCAGGCCAGGACTGGCATCCCCTCATGGCCCCAGCAGGCGTGACCCTCTGCAACGCGGACAGCTCTCCCCACAGAGGCTGCCCCACGGCCTCTCTGGCTTGCCGGCCTGGCCACCCCCCGCAGCCGCAGAGGCGAACTGAATCAGGGGCTGCCCCCCCCCCCGAAGCTGCCCAAGGACACGGGCATCCCGCTGCTGGGCGCCATCCGCCTGGTCCGCGTCTCCACGGCCTCCCTGCAGCACCTGGCGCGGCTGAGCGAGCTGCACCTGCCCAACAGCAGCCTGGCGGCCCTCGAGACCCATGGGGGGGCACTGCCCCACCTCCGGCAGTCCAGCAACCCCCTCGCCCAGCCGCCCGAGGACACAAAGCAGACGTCGGTTCAGGCACCTGGATCTGCGGCAGAACCTCCAGGGGCGCCCCGCCAGAGCGCTGGCCTCCCACTCGGTACCCCGAGAAATTAAAGTAGCAGTAGAGAATCGCTTGTGCAGCTGCGTTGACTTCCAGATGCCCCGAGTGAAGCCGTGGGGTCTCCTGGGCAAGGGCGGGAAGGGCTGTCCCAGCTGGGGGGCCGAGGACCCAGCTCAGCCCCACTGCAGCCCCCCGCCTTGGGGGGCCAAGGACCCGGCTGGGGGCGGCCGCCCTGCCTCCGGCACGCAGGACAGTCGAGCAGCGGCGGCCGCTGGGCGGGCTGCAGGCGTGGGCTGTGAACCCCCCGGGACTGACCCCCGCCCGCTCGACGTCGCCTCCTGGGGCGCCTCCACAGCCCCCCCGCCAGCCCCCTCCTGCACCGCTTGGGCTGTTTGGCCGGAGCGCCGTTCTCCAGCCCCCCACGCCCATGAACCACCCGGCTCTGCCCCCCACGCTGCGCCCCCACTGCCCCTCCTCGGCCTGCACTCGCAGCACCCCAGCGCTCCCCAAAGGTGCTTCCCGGCCTGAGCTGGGCCCCCTCCTGGTCTCTCCTTTGCCCGGCAGCAGGTGACGGGGTGCTCTCACTGTGAGAACTGTGGCACATGGGGCCTGCCCTGGCACAGCGCCCAAATCCCTGCGGCGCCGCTGCAGGAAGCGTGGCTGGCACGATCCGCGGCCTCCGTGGGACCTTCCGTGGGGCCCCGGCTCAGACCCCGAAGGAGGCAGACTCTTAAGACCATGATCAGCTTTACTGGTGGAAAGCGAAGCGGGGACGGCGCTACGGGCGCTACGGGGGGGCAGCTCGCTTGGGGAGGGGCGTCCGCAGCAGGGCCCGGCCAGCCGCCCACCCCTGCAATAAATAGTGCCTCCCCCTCAGTCCCCGTTGCGCCAGAAGGGCCCGATCCGTCCTCATGATGGCCTCGATGCGAGAGGTGGGGGGCCGCCGGGGCGCGTGCCTCAGACCCCGAGGGAGGCGGGCAGGGAGGCCTTCCCTGGCTGCGGGACGAGACGGGCCGCTGGAGGGGGGGGCCGGGGCCGGGGCCCTGGCCCCCCGTCAGGCACTGAGAAAGAACTTCTGGTAGAACTTGTTCATCTGCTCCAGGAAGATGAATGTGAGCACAGTGTGGGGCCCGAGCCGGGCGTAGTAGGGGGTGAAGCCCTTCCACAGGCTGAAGAACCCCTCGTAGCGGACCACCTTGGCCAGCACGTCCTGCAAGACAAGCGGCGGACCGTGGGCGGCGCTCCCCTCCCCACGCTCCACCGGGGGCCGCCGGGCAGGCCAGGGCCGGAAGGCTCCGAGCGGGAGGTCCTCCCAAGGCCCGGGGGTCCCCTCGTCCCCACGGCGGCCACGGTGCTCAGCGGGCGCTCATGGGGGCCGGGCTGCGGCCCCGCTCCGAGTCCTCCACAGCAGCAAGCGTCCGTGCCGGCTGGAGGGCTGGGGCCGGCCGATTGCTGCGCGGGAAGCCGCTGCCGGGCAGAGGCCCGGGCCCTCCGCTCGGCCCCACGAGCCCAGTGGGAGCAACGCGGCCAGGGAGCCTTCCTGCAAAAGGGCGCTCATGCAAGCGGGCGCCCCCAGGCTCAGCTCTGCCGGGCAGAGGCGGCGGCCAGCACCCGGGGCCAAAGTCCGCACAGAGCTGCCCCCTCAGTGGGGCCAGCCGGGAAGCCGCTCAGGAACGCGGCCCTGAAGTTCCGGCTTTGCGGCGCCCTTCGGCACGGAGAGGCCCGGCCACAGGGACCGACCGCCACACGCAGCCCGGCCACCCCCCCCTCGGGCTCTCGGGGCCCTCGCTTTGCCGGGCCAGCCTCCCCGAAAGCCGCCGCAGCACGCACTCACCAACCCGTTCCGGTACTCGGGCTTCCCGTCAATCATGCGCATGTTCTGGATCCTGGGGAGGCGCAGAACGGGCGACAGGCAGGCCGTGAGGCCGGGCATGGGCAGTCCCGGCCCCTCCAGTCCCGCAGAGCCGGGCCCCCTCCCGCCCAGCGCCCTCTTCCCAGGGCGGCCGACCGGGTGCCCCAGGAGGGGGGCGGGGGTGCCCAGGGCCGCGCCTGCTCCGATGGAGCCCTGGGGAGCGAGCCGGGCAGGCCTCACCTGGTCTTGGCGATGTCCACGGGCATGGAGGCCGCCGTCGTCACCAGCCCGCTGATCATGCTGGCACAGAAGTGGCAAAAGATGTTGTCCCGGAAGTAGCCTGAGGGGAAGCGGAGAGGAGCGCGAGCTCTTGCGGGGCCCGCGGCGGGGACGGGCGAGGCCGAGGGCAGGCTGCGGGGGCCCCGTGCAGAGGGCCTGCGGGAGCAGCCGGGGAGGGGGCCCCCGGAACCCCGCTCCCTCCCGGCTTCGCCCCACGTCCACTCGGGACGCCCCTACGGCGGTTCCAACGGAGCACCCCGAGCGCCTCCTCCCGCGGCTGTCAGCGGACGTCCGTCTCAAGACGAGTGAGAGCAGCGAGCCTGGGGGGGGGGGGGGCACGAAGGGCTAGCTACGCCTTGGGCGGCTGGGGGGGCCTGCCCAGAGCAACTCACCGGAGTCCAGGAGGAACTGCTTGGACTGGGAGTAGGAGGCCAGCTGGGCCGCGTTGACCACCACCGCCCGGGCCATGGTGGGGACACAGCCCTAGGCAGAGGCAGAAGGGCCGTCAGGGTCAGGCGGCCTGCGGGGCTCCCTCACCCGCACGCGAAGGAAGCTGCCGGCCCGAGCGAGGGGGCCGGAGCGGCAGCCGGCGACCCATCCCCCGGGCAGCTCCGAGTGCCTGGCCGCTGCGCAGGACAGGAGCGTGGGGCCCCGGCAGGCCCGCTCCCCGAGCAGGGAGGCCCCAGAGGCGGGTGGGGACTCTGCCCATCCGTGCAGGGAGACGGGCCTTGTCAGAAGCCCCACAGGGGACCCGCTCGCTATGGGAAGCAGCTGCCCCACAGAGTCCCACGTGCAGAGGGCAGACCCAGGGCAGCCGGCGAGGACGGGCACGTGGCTGTCAGGCCTCCTCCAGCCTGTCCTCGGCCCAGAGGACCCCCTCCGTGTCAGGTGGGGGCCTTCCCCGCCCCAGGGCGTACCCTCCAAAGCGTGGGCACCCCCTCCTCGCGGGTGATCCTCAGGAGCGCATTGAACACGTTGCTGTAACCTCGCCTCTGGTCAGGGGGCAGCCTGCGAGAGAGCGAGGGGCCGGAGAATGCGGTGGGGCTGGCGGGGGCTGGAGGCCAGCCTGTGAGGGAGCGTGCGTCCCGCCCGCAGGGGGCACCTCCCGCTCCCTCCCCCAGCGCTGCAGGTGCGCCGGGGCGGGCCGGCACGCCTCCCCGGACACCGCGGGGCCCCGACCCGGGCAGCCGTGCCCACCTGCCGTCAGCCGTCATCCGGATGAGCGCCACCTCCGCGGGGGTGCCCACGAAGGCCCCGATGGCCCCGGCCGTCATGCCGATCAGCGCCTTCATGATGAAGTTGGGGGGCGTCCCGTCCGCCCGGGTGAGCTTCTCGAAGAGGATGGTGTAGATGCCCAGGCGGGTGGTGGTGTAGGTGGCCTGGCGCAGGAGGCCGGCGGACAGCCTGCCCGGAGCCCAGCGGTCAGCGGAAGGGGCGGCCCCGCCACCGCCTGGGCGCCCCAGCCCCACGCCTCCCGGCCCCGATCAGCCCGGGGCCCTCTCCTGCCAGCCGGGGAGGCCCCGGGAAGAGCCTTCGCCCAGCGGCCCCTTCCAGAGCACCGTGGGGGGGGCTCCAAACTCTGGCCTTGGGTGGGATCAGCCGCAGTTGAGGGGGCTGCACGGGCTTCCGCAGCCCCCGCCGCCCCAGAGGAGAAGCGCCCCACACCTCCCTCTCCTCCTCAGCAGGCTGCTCTGCAGGTGTCTCCCGCAAGGCCTCCCGCCGCCCGCCCGCCCGCCCGCCCGCCCCCGCCCCCTACCCGGTGTAGATGCCGCGGACGCCCTCCTTCCTGAGGATGCTGCCCACGGCGTGGAAGCTGGTCTTGTACTCCTTGGTCTTGGCGCCCTCGCCGCTCAGCTGCATGCGGTTCTTCACGAGGTCCAGCGGCTGCACGAACACCGTCGCCCCCATGCTGCGGGCGGGCGGGCAGGCAGGCGGCGTCACCCGGCGCTGCGGCGGCGCGGGCGGGCGGGCGGCACACGCCCCGGGGGCGCCGCGGGCCCCGGGCCTCCTCCGCACC